ATTTATTCTACATATGTGATACACTTTTAATTTTTTTTTGTTTTCGTTTTTATTTCAGATGCCGTCCTTGGACAAAAAGTAAGTGATTTGCAATCTTTAAAATATTTTTATTGCATGTCTTATTAGATTCAAGAGAAGCTTTGGCATCTCTTCCAATAAATTTAAAAATAAGTGTAAGACTGTGTAAGGTAAAAATAATACGTATAAAAGAGCGAACTACCATTATAATAATAATTATTATGGTGAATAGAAGAAAGAAGTGTTTTACTTATTCTAGATAACGTACTTACTAAAAAAAGTTATATCTTTGGAATAATACAGCGAGGGCAGCGAAAAAGTGACTGTTATTTTATTCTCCCTTTTTCAAGGCTATAACATTAATACTTGAGTTTCAACTATTTATTTACTTTCAATGTCAGTCTAATACATTACTGTGGTTACGAGTTTTATATGTATATAAGTATTTTGATTTGTGCACCCTAGTCCGGCTCTGTCTATTTTAGAATTGTGCACATCGCAGCATCGGTCACTTAACTTTCATGACCAGTAAATGAACCTTATGAACGATTAATGAAACGCATTTGTTCAATTATCATTATCAGTCGTAATTAGTAATTCCAATTATGAATGTTCAATTTTATATGTACCTACTTATATACTTGTTCCCAATGAGGTATCTCTCATCACTTATTTACTTTAATTTTTCTTATTAATAAAGTTATCTACGCATCATCAATGCTCATTTACGAAAAAATGATATTTTTCTCATACAAGAGGTCAAAAACATTTCTTTCTGATAATAAGTAAAATACTTCTTACAAGTTTGCATTTGTGAAATATCATATCGTGTGTATTTTATTTACCTTTTATGTACGTAGTATAGTCTTCAAGTACTCATACATATAAATATTACAATCAAATTTTCAATAATTGAATGGTTCTCATTTATTACAATATAAATAACGTTAATTAAAAACTTACTCGATTCATATCAAAATCTTGCATCGGCTCTACAGCAGGACAGTCGCCAAGATTGTAGGAATGACCCTTTCCATTTTCGAAAAACAAATTTAAAATCAAACAAACGGCTACGATTAAATTCATTGTAGTGTTGATTAACGGATGGAACACAGTTATTTTTCTATCTAATTCTACCAACTCTCGGCCTTTTACGTACTCGGGATTTAATTAAACAATGTAAACCCCTCCGCTCACGAGATCTGTTACTCTGTTACTGACATTTACAACACTGTTTCGTTTATTATAAAGCAATCGGTGAAAGACGAAAACGTTTGAATAATAAAACCAGATCATTCGATGCTAATAAATCTTTATACAAACATATATTATCTTGTGTGGATGGGGCATTTTATAAAACTACACGGAGAAGCAGACTTTGGAGTCGTAAAATTTGAAGAATTGAATGAGTGTATCATTCCAGTACAGGACTGTACTTTCTACTTTTTTACATATAGAAAAAATGTGGAAGAGGAAGTGGATACTGTACAATACTAGTTAAGATTTGCACGACTAATCATCTCACTGCTGCCTATTAAATTACTTAGGAAGGAAAAGCAGAAAATAACATTTTGTTTTTTGGAAAAAGACCTTATGTTATTCATAACAAACGAACAAGTTAGTTTTAAAAATAAACAAGATACTGTCCTGCGTTTCATCCGGTAATTTCTGATTTCACAATAATTGTGATCAGTAAACAAGTTGACTAACTACATCCTACCACTACTACTATTAATTTGAATACATATGTTATATAGCGGTTCATACGAATACAGTCAGCTTAATTTAAAAAAATCATAAATTGTACATATTTTCATCAATTTATATGTATTTCAAAATATACTCTCCATATCATACCTATAATAGGAGCAATTATTTAAGGATTTTGACTAAGGTCACAGGACGAGTGTGTTTTTTACCGAAAAGTCAAGTGCAATGGTCTTGGATTCTCGAAAAAAATGTTTTCATATACAAGTTATTCATTAGGTAATTTAACAACCATCAACACTAAAATTATACAACCCAACATACAACCTCTTTATCTGCTGTAAGAAAAATTTGAATCATAAAAGTGTTTTTACATTTATTTTTGTAGGAAGGAATAATCTTAACGACTTTGCTAGAGCTTATAAACTAAAGGTTACTATAACAGTTAATATACATGTTAGTACATAGCTCATGATAATTTTCGCAAGGAAATGTTATTCACGCAAAAAGAATGATTCATTATCACCGCCAAAACGAAAATTTAATATACTTCGTACTGTACTACAAACTACATTAATAACAACGGTAATCAGATAAAAAAAAATGTTTTATTAAATATGAATAAAGTCTACTTTTGGAATCATTAGCATTTTTGAAACGAAAAATTTCTTTCTTCCGTTCACGTCAGATGTAGACTATTGACATTATGTGCAATTTCTAGAGAGATAAAACTGATGTTATTTAATATTATAACACAAGACATCATTTTCTTTTTGTTAGTTCTAGTAATTACTGGACCAGCTCATTTATTATTTAATTTATTAACAATCATTCATTATTTTCCATAAGGGGCTCCATTCTACAAAAGTAAAAGAGAAAAAATGTACTTGTTTACCCATTTATTCACATCACAGATTTGAATTGACAAAAAATACTAATAACTTTTTTACAATCCTTTACAGATTGAAATACAGCACTTTAAAAATAAATATTTACAAATAAAATGCAAACGAATTGAATTACTTTTTAGTTTAACTTTATATTACGAATGCATATCAATATTTTAAAGAGATATAATAAATTTTGGTGGCGAGTTTTCAAACACAATGTGCCATAAATCTACTTACTGAATGCTTATAATAATTAGCAGTTGAAACTTTTTAATAGTTTTTTACAGTGTTAAAATGACGACTACAGATTAGAAAAAACGTCAGCTTATAATATGTGTCCAAAATGAAGAAGAAAATAAACGTAGTAATATACTTAAAAGCAGAAAGAAACTGTTTTGCTATCACTATCACTTCTGTGCTCAAAAAAATGAATAACTAAAATGTAAGTTTTTGTTTATCTAATAGTTAGGAATGTTTCATTTTATTTACACTAATCGTAAGATGGCTATCTATAAAAATATACATTTTATCTTACAATTACTATTAAATCAAAAGTTTACTACTCATAAAATGCAATTATAAAAAAAAGAAGTATGAAACAAGCATTTGGCTGATTTGTTCTTTTAATTAAGTAGAAATAAAATCATATAATAAAAATAAAATATTATCTAAAGGGTTTAAATATTGCGCAAATAAAAATGAAACAGATAACTACCCAAATATCGGCCTTTGGACCATCGTACTTAAAACCCTGGAATAGTTCGGGGGCAGCATACGGAGGCGATCCGCACCATGTTGACAGTTTAGTTCCCTCCGTAAACTGATTACTAAATCCAAAATCTGCTAACTAAAAAAGAAAATTAATTAAGATACACTTACAAATTTTTACGATAACGAGAATGTTACAGATACATGTATGATCAAGGGGCACAGTTTTTGGTTTCCCAAGGGAAGTAGTACAAAATTACTTCCAAATGCGATTTGGGTCAGAAAACCGGTCAATCGAACGCCAAACTTTAGAGTGCCTTACTATTTAAACTGTTAATTTTAGATAAATGTTCTACTAGACTTTTTTGTAGAAAATCAGTGCTTTACAAAAATAGTCTAATTAATTTTTCTATTATCTAGCTCAGTTTTCTGAAGGGGATGCAAAAAAAGGCAAGTACAAGCGATTTTTTCCTGGAATTTCTGCTAATGTTCACTTATTATACTATCGTATTTAAGAACTGAAATAAAGGGCTGAAACTGGTTTTGTAGTAAAACTTATCGATGTTTGGCTCATATTTTTTTCTTTTCGATAAGCTGATAATTACTTTACAAGATGTAAGCTTTCAATATGTAACGTGTGCTCTCGCTACGCCACTTAACTCCCTTTGCCTATACGACAGGTAAAAAACGCTATTGCACGTCAAAATAGTTACCTTTATGTTCATATTGTGATCTAATAATAAATTTTCAGCCTTAAGATCTCTATGAACTATTCCTTGCGAATGACAGTAATTCACAGCCGATACTATCTGATTAAATATTCGTTTAGCTTCTGATTCGGCCATGCGACCCCTAGATACTAAATGATCNCTATTTACAAAATTTTCTAGTGGAATAATATTTAATAATCAAAGCCACTATTTCACTCCACCGAAAGGAATCGACGACCTGCGTCAAGCAGAAAGTGTATTATAAATGTACCTACAGATAGATAGATAGATAGAATAAGTTTATTTTATTTCACTTTTTATTTATCATTTCGATTTCTTCTGCGTCAAAAGATTCTTACCTTTGAAATAATCATAAAGTACTATTAATGTTTTTCTGGAAGCACAGGAGATGGTTGCAACGTCATTCGTTATTTTTTAGTCATAAAAGTCTGAAATACATACAAAATTATAATAAAATGGGTAAATATCGAATGTGCCACCTCCAAACGTCCAACAGAAAAACAAAGAATACGAAACTGGTAATCGTCACATAATCGTCGCTTACCTCAAACAAAACTGGACAAAGATGCTCTGTCAATCTATCAATAATAACTAATCAATCAAATAATCAGTCAATTATGTAATGAAAACAAAAAACGCGAACTAAAACGTTCACAGAATTAATAATTTATAACAACAATGATTCACGCCGTTCGTTAAGAGACCGACATGCAAGAGATCAGCTGTTGGCAGAGCTGATTACAGACAAGCTGGTCACCGGATATCCGACGCACTTTCAGTCCTTTCGCGTCTTTCCGTTTGTCTACGATACGAAGTTCGATTTGAATACCGCCCTCGTATTCCAACGACAATTTGTTCGCTAAATGTTCAGGAGTAGAACTTAAGATGCAGCACTTCGGCGGCACCTGGTCATTAATCGATCTTTTCACCATTTCCAAAATGTCCGTCGATTCTAAATTTGCGCAATCTTTTGGTAATTCGACTTCAAAAGACCCGGAATGTTTACATGCTTCCAGTAATTTGCTGTTGTTGCTGTCTTGGTGTCGAGAACGATCGATATCCATGTTATCCTGTTGATGGTGGTGATGCTGAACGATGGCGAGGTTTAAGTTTTTAAAAATTTCAAAGTTCTCCGCACCGGAGTTGGCCAGTTCTTGGTCGATTTGTTTTTGGATGTAGTTAGTGTCAATGGGCCGGGAGCGTAATTCTTGATCGAAATAACTGCTCTGGGTATTTGAGCCTGAGCTGGGACTTTGGTTTCCTATACTGAGACTATCATTGGACAGCGAGTCGTCCGAATAACACGGACTCTTATCTGATGGATTATTTCGTTTCAGAAAAAACTCGTCAGTTGCTTGATTGTTTTCGCCGCAGTTGCCACCCCCTCCGCAGGTGTCTGACTGCTGAGGTCGATTAAAAAATTTTGTTTCGTCATTGTTATCGGCACTCGTTTTTCGACCGATGCCTTTCGTAATCGACGGCTGGTTTTCTGACGGTTCAGATATTATAAACGACGGTATTTTTGGGATCTGGTTTTCGAGACTATCCATTGAATCCTCAGACGTATCCGAACCGGCTACCAGTGTAACTTCGCTACCTAAAAGATATTACAAGTAATTTTAATCGTAGTAATATTATTGCTTTTTTTTTACCTAAAACGTCGGTTACTGATATCTGAGGATGGCATACGAGCTCTTTGTTATGGATGCCGTGACCGTGTGATTGTTCCTCTTGAATCATGTCCAAGCCCGGACTGCCCGGATTGCTAATCGGCGAATTCGTTAAACTACGATGATTGTGTATGTTCAGAATGTGATGCATATGATGGGGCACAGGCGACTGGTGCATGTAGGGATGAACCAGATTGCCGTAAGCAGCGGTGTCCATTTTATCGTCCGACTGCAAAGATAACATCTGCTGTTGACCTCGAATATCCTGTTGAAGATTCGTCGCTGGTGTTCCCTGCGTTATTGAACCAATGCCGGTCGTATTTAAAACGCTTATACCTATAAAGAAAAACAATTAAATCGATTTAGATATTATACCTTGTATTATTACTGTCGATTCTTACCTTGCGTAATGGACGATATACTGGTCGGTTGCGGGAGAGCGACGGCTGCATTGGGTCCATAGGTACCGAATACTTGGGGCATACTGGGATTAAGAAGAGGCTTGTTGATGGGAACGTTACCACCGGCGTACAGACTCAAATTGGGCAGTTGTCCGTACATCGCCTGATGACTTGGGGAGTTCAAGCCGCTGCTCGAGTTGTGGGTGTAAGGTGAAGTGCTACCAGAATGCACGGGACTGTTTCCATAACTGTGGTTAGGGTCGTAAGCGAAACTCGACGAGGGGAAGTTCTCTGACGACATATTGCTCGATGACGGCTGGTGAACGGGAGAGTTCGATTCGGGATAACACGCATCCGTTACGAAATGATGAATGGGGGAACCTACAATATTCATTATTATTATTACGATATTATTCATTCTCAATTTTCGTACCTGGTATCGATCGCGGAGGACTGTTACGCGTTGCCAAACCTCGCTGTAACCGCTGGCATTCCTGCTGGGGGGTTGTTGGGCTTAACGTTCGACCACTGCCTGCAGAACCCTCGCTACCCCTCCTGACTGGGCTGAATCGTTCTGAAGATTTCTGTTCTCGCCCTTTTTGGAATAATTAAAAAAAAAAAGGAAACACATGTTTTATTAAATATTACAACATTGGCTCTTTGCGAATTACTATTTAATTAACATTTAAATAAACATAAAGTTAACATTTAAGAACTTTTTTTTATTTATTCATGAAATAAACATTGGAAATTGAAAATACAGAGAGCAAATTTTTAAGTAGTATCAAATATTATTCTCGTTGTGACCACTCACCTTTTCATTTTGTGTGTGAATGAATATGTGTCTGTACAAAACAAAAAAAAAAGCAACACAAACCTTGAAGTTCCTGAACTGTGGGCAAATGGGGTTTGACGGCATGTCGAGAGTGCTTGCGTTGGGGCATGATAGGCATGGGTGGCAAATAGTTGCGTCCCATGCGAGCCTCAACCTCCAATATTAATTCGGGCGAAATCACTAACAAACGCATGCAAAACAACATAAACCAACTGCTACGTCAACAAAATATCAAAAATAAAAGAAGAAAGGCAAATAACGACTAAAAAAAGCGTACGGAGCCACAAAATTCTAATGACATTATTTATTTACATATGATAACTCACAACCTTAAAGTCACAGAAATTTTTAATGAAAAATAATTATTTCGATATTTGATTTTTTTCTGTCCTAACATCTAATTAGAGTATTTAAAAGCTCCTTGAATTCAATTTGTTCATTTATTTCGATGAACCAACAGAGGATAAAAATGGAAAGTTTTATTATGAAATATTTTTTTACTTCGAAAATTGCCACTTTTCACTGATTTGAATAAGTACATGAGTGACTTAAATAAAGTAAGATACACTTGCTCTGTAAACTCGACTTATACATCAATTAAAAATGCAAAACAGTAAGAATAATTGGCAAAATTACATCGAATGCAATTTTTACAGCAATATAATAAAACACAACAATCAAACGCATGCTAATCGTAAAAATAAAGTAGCAAACCATAATTACATAAAATATCGTAGCATCTGTACAATATATGTTTATTTTTTTATTTACACCGAATAAAACAATGTAACACCGACATTTTTCTAAGTTGCTATTATTTTGAATCAAGAAAAACAGTCAATACGTAATTTAAGCTTTATATTCATATATTGCTTTTCTAAACGCGCTTTACTTAAATGAAAAACGAAATATATGCAAAATCTTACCTGGAGGCCGTTCCATAACTGTATGCAAACCAGTCCTTCTAGTTCGACCTGTCGAAGACGTACTAGTCTGTAGAGTGTGAACGTCTTCAGGATTTGCCATCGTATGCCTTTTCGAATTACCTCTGCATTTCATGTATCTGAATAGAATAAGTTGTTAAAAAATAACAAGGAAATCCAGTTAAAAAGTTTCCATTACCGAGCAACTGCGTAGGGGTCAGAAAGTTCGTCCAAAGTCGGTTGACTCCTGTCGAGTGTTTGAGTGCCGGTGCCGCTGCTAAGACTAGGATTACCACTCGAACTAGACGACATGACGGACAACTGTTCGTGAGAACCTGGTGTGCCCCATGCCATATGAAAATTAGCACCACCATCTAAACGCAAAGTAAGTCTCAAGTATGATGCAGGTGAATAAACAAAACTAAATGTTAAAAACAAAACTGGTTTTGCATTTAGCACCAAAATGACGTAAGCTGTTGCCATGTTTGCAAATTTAATAGATAATAATCTTCTGGAACAATTTAGTTTTTGTTTCATCACAATATCTCAAACAGTTTCGTGATATTGCTATTGCAGTATAAACTATTCCAAAAGTTTTAGCTGGTAATAAAATTAAACGTTCGGTCATACCTGACGCTCGTCTCCCAAATCCGCCCACCACGTTCAACACGGTCGGCGGCTTAAGTAGGTGCGGATCTTTTCCACCGAAATAATGGTAATTCTGTTGACCCAACGAAGGTAAATCCAGAGGCAGATTTATGTTTGGCAAAGTGGGATCCTGCTGGACTTGCGACATGTAATGCGACTCCAACACCTAAAAATCATTAACACCCATAAGTGTACCACTATACATAGATATAATAAAAGAACAGTTCTAAAAGTGCATACTATGTTCATAAATAGAAATTTGAATCTTTTTTCAACGAAATTAAATTTTAATTAATGTATAAATGTTAATTTTTTCATCATTCTTACCTGTTCATGTGCAGAATCTCCAGGTCCCACCGTGTGTCTTCGAATTGCCAAATAATGTTCACCTGTTGAAGTGCAACTACTGTATCCCGTCGTAGAAGCTGAAGAGGGCAAATTTCCTAAATCGTCGGATAGGTCCGTTTCCATATCTCCGAACTGTAGTAATAAGAATGAATAAATGGAATAGACAAATAACGGCAAGTCGACTGTCTGATATCAAATAATAAATACAAATTAGAAATTTAGAACCAGGTCAGGGTTTAAAATAATGCAATATGAACCGAAATAAAATAAATAACGCTATCGAAAAGAAGGCCCTCGAAAATGAAAGTGATAACTAATCGTAACACATTCGTATAAGCACTGCATATTATCATAATTAATTACTATCCAGTTTGGAAACTTTTAAAAACTGCTTTTAAATGTTTATTTTCGAGTTTTACCTTTTCCAGTGGTTGATTTTCCAAATCGCCTGCCAGATAAACGGCTGGGATGGTAGGCATAGATATAAATGGGTACGTTCCGTCTTCATTTATGCTGTCCGAACTTGGTCGTCGTTTTTCGTTTACTTCGTCCCGTATTTCGCGCAAACAATTCTCATTAAAACTTTCTCGACGGCCGTTTTTCGGCTCGGCCAATTTACCATCCACTTCCAACTAAAAACAGCATAAGTGCACAACTGTTAAATCGTATATGATTAAAAGAGCAATTTGGAATACGGGGTTTTTTAAGGGGGGCGATAATAAATATAGATACATGTCACTGAGAGGGGAGGGAGGAGCAAATCGTCTTAATGTATTTTTAATAGCAGTTTATTCAGGGATACGCAACCCAACATACACTTCGTATATATTTTTGTTGCATAAGTTAACAGAAAGGAACTCGGCCAATCGTATATTAACAAATAACAGGGAAATGTGTGTTAAATAAAAAAAATAATATTCACCTCTCTAATTTCGCTCGATTTACTATATTTGTGAACAACCAACTTCTCGTTAAATGATTCGCTTCTTTCTGCTATCTTGTGTTGTTGTTGTTGTTGTTGTTCTTCATGAACTCGTGCTCTTTCTTCCAAAAATCTCTCCTTTTGTTCGACGTTGCTGTTCTTTTGCGAAATTTTATGCTGGAAGTTGATAGTGCGTTGGTGCAGTTTATCAACCAGCAAGTTGTAAATAGCGTAAATGTGGTCGAACGAATTAGATTTCAAAGACTACAACAGCACAAGTGAATAGAAATGAACCAAACGAAGAGGCTGAAAAAAATGGTAATGTTTTATTTTGTACCTGCAAAATCATGTTCTGGTTCAATCCGGGCAGTTGTAGCATGTGTTCTAAGACAGTTTTGTTGAGTTCGTTTTCTTTCTCGGGCCCGGTGTCGACAGGCGGAGCCTCAGCCAACCACCGATGTTTCACAATCTGTGACATCGTCAGTCTTTTATCTGGATCGACCACCAGCATGTGCCTTATTAAATGCTCACAGTCTAAAAAAGCTCATGATAAATATCGAAAATTCGAGAAAACCAAAGAAGAGCCTAGCAAAAACACGGTCAAATCCAAACGGTCCATTTTTAAAACATTTCTTTAAGGATTCATGACCTTTTTATAACAATATAATATATATAAGCATACTTTTTTAATATTCGCATTATCTAATTGATAAGAAATATTATCAACATTTTTTTACAAACACTTACGATTAGCGTCTTTTGAATGAAAAATGAAAGCGTGTACCTATCATTCTTATAGATTTTTAAAAAGATGGCTGCTTACCTTGTGACATGAAGTACGGAATTCGGAATTTACCGGATATGACAACGTTCCTAAGGGCCTGTAATGTAGGACCGTCAAAGGGCAGTGAACCACAAACTAACACATATAAAACAACTCCCAGGCTCTATAAAATTATAATAAAAATAAAATATTATCTAAAGGGTTTAAATATTGCGCAAATAAAAATGAAACAGATAACTACCCAAATATCGGCCTTTGGACCATCGTACTTAAAACCCTGGAATAGTTCGGGGGCAGCATACGGAGGCGATCCGCACCATGTTGACAGTTTAGTTCCCTCCGTAAACTGATTACTAAATCCAAAATCTGCTAACTAAAAAAGAAAATTAATTAAGATACACTTACAAATTTTTACGATAACGAGAATGTTACAGATACATGTATGATCAAGGGGCACAGTTTTTGGTTTCCCAAGGGAAGTAGTACAAAATTACTTCCAAATGCGATTTGGGTCAGAAAACCGGTCAATCGAACGCCAAACTTTAGAGTGCCTTACTATTTAAACTGTTAATTTTAGATAAATGTTCTACTAGACTTTTTTGTAGAAAATCAGTGCTTTACAAAAATAGTCTAATTAATTTTTCTATTATCTAGCTCAGTTTTCTGAAGGGGATGCAAAAAAAGGCAAGTACAAGCGATTTTTTCCTGGAATTTCTGCTAATGTTCACTTATTATACTATCGTATTTAAGAACTGAAATAAAGGGCTGAAACTGGTTTTGTAGTAAAACTTATCGATGTTTGGCTCATATTTTTTTCTTTTCGATAAGCTGATAATTACTTTACAAGATGTAAGCTTTCAATATGTAACGTGTGCTCTCGCTACGCCACTTAACTCCCTTTGCCTATACGACAGGTAAAAAACGCTATTGCACGTCAAAATAGTTACCTTTATGTTCATATTGTGATCTAATAATAAATTTTCAGCCTTAAGATCTCTATGAACTATTCCTTGCGAATGACAGTAATTCACAGCCGATACTATCTGATTAAATATTCGTTTAGCTTCTGATTCGGCCATGCGACCCCTAGATACTAAATGATCTAAAACAGTAGGAATATAAATTATCTAATAACATCGTGAAAATTATTCAAATTCAAAACATCTTACCAAATATTTCACCCTTACTAGCGTACTCTGTTACTAGGTAGATGGTCTGATTGGTTTCCATGAGTTGATACAGTCTTGTTATGTGCGGATGACGAAGTTTCTTCATTATTGCAGTCTCCCGGAATATTTTGGTTAAATTTTCTTCATCTAATGCAGTCTTATCTATTATTTTAATGGCCACCTGCATTAAAAAAAAATGTAATTCAATTAAACCTTTTCATCAGATAAACACACCTTACTAAAGAAGTCTTGATACACATACAAGAATAAGCAATTGTGTAGATTATTAAAAGAGGTATCACATTAAAAATATTATACAACATAAAATTTATACCTACATTATTTAAAATTTCTCAGAAAAACATGCATAATTATTATTAACAATAAGATATATTTTAGCGGAGGTGGAGTGGTATCTACACATATCTTATCAAATAACCGGAAAAAATAAAAATAGGTTATTCATTTTAATTTTTAAACGGACAATTTATAACAAACTACTCATTATATTGCTAACGTGATAAAATGTAACATCAAAATTACATACTTAATAGCACTACTTATTTTGATTGCAAACATTTTATACACGGGGTGATTTGATATCAACGGTCCAAGAAATGAAACTGAAAAACTAACTGTGAACACATCCACGGATGTTATCGTAACATTAAAAAATTGTCTCGAGTACATAAAAATATAAAAGAATAAAAATAATTAAAAATTTTATGAATCGTGTTTTCATTTTTTCTTGTTTTCTTCTTTTTATAATATACCTATTGAGTGTTTTTTTTGCGAACATAATATGCAAATAAAAAAGGCATATCATCGTAAGTACTAATCAAAAAAAGTAAATAAGCGTCTTGCATATGACAGCAGAAACTTCATATTGTTCTAGATACCTGACTAAATACATGTTTTTCGATCATTTAAAAATTTTATTCCATTCCATAAATGCAAACACAAAATAATGCCGATAATCGATAAATAACAAGGGGGTGTTCAACTCTTTTGCCATGATTTACTCTTAAAAAAAAACAATAAAACCCGAAAAATATACATATCTACTCCAAAAAGTACTAAACTTTTAAAGTTTTTTCTAACATGAAGAAACAAGAAATGCTTTTTTACAACATTCAAAAACTGACTAGTATCACGTAATACTATTCAACAACATACCATATACGAACATAGTTGCTGGCAGTCATTTAATAATTTACACAAATAAGGTAATCAATTGCGAATTTTCATCTAACAAATCTAGACCAGATAGTAGCTATTTAGCCATAGGAAATGAAAACTTCCATTAAACAAAATAATTTTTCTCTTTACATTAACGATATGCCTTAATAATTCTTTTAAAGAAATATAATTCTTATTGTTACTGCAAATAAAAAAAATCCATTTCAGCAATAAACTTTCTAAGAAAACCTTGAATGAGAAACATAACCTAACTTATCACATTTTATTTAATTATTATCTATCAATAAGTTGTTTCCGTAATCTTTTTTGATTTTCATTGTAATTAAATTTAAATGGCAAAAGTAAATAAATGTTAAAGCATTGAGCAAAAATCACTACGTAAGTACAAAATAGTAATACACACTAGTAACAAATAAATAAATATTTGTCCAGAAAAAACTCCTTCGATTCAAATAATGCTCTAACCTACAACATTTATAGCCAATAAAACTCAATAATTTCCTTTCAAACTTTCTACTGAGACCTTAATTCTATCGTATTTCTCTAAACTAAACAGCATTTTTTTAATAAAAAAATACATTGAACTAGTGACGTATATTTACACAACAAAACTTACCTTGGTTCTTGTAACAACATGTGTAGCAAGTTTCACGACAGCAAAATTACCCTTGCCAATTGTTTTTTCGAGTTCATAATAACCAACCCGCACTAATTTTTCCACGGGTAAAGTTTTTCCAGACATTTTCACTATTTTAACGACGTAACAACAATAACCCTTCTATGCCTACGACCCACTCCACTAGACACTAAACTGCACTAAAGAGGTGGTGGAGGTGGCTAGTACATACATTTTCATATAGATTTCGCTAGAACTGACGTCACATTACGTCATTGGTACAGTTTGTGGCAAAAGTGACGGCATTGGATATTTTATTAATATATGAATGAAATTACCAACTAGTACACTCACGCAAAATCGTGTCAATATTATCTGCTTTCTTTTTTTTCGTCCTTGTTCTCATCTTTTCATTAACTACGGAATTGTTAACCAAATGCGATTTTAAGTTTTGAATAACCTTGTGCTGTCTTTAAATTAAATTAGAACAAAATTCGTACGTGACTATTATTTTAGATTGCATGTTTTATTGATCACTCAAATATATTTATTGTCATTGCGGTTATTATTATTATTACTGATATTTTAGCAAAATCTTTCAATGTTTCAATAGAATGAATTTATTCCTAAAAGTATGAGCGATATTTTTGTTATTTATTATTATGGTAACTTATTATTACCTACTACAGTAAAAGCCATAGACAAGGGAAAGTCTTTTACGAGGCGTCTTATTTCAAAATCTACAGTTAATGAATTTGAATAATCAATTCTCATTCAGCGAAGTACATGCCATCCTTTAGTGGGTCTGTACGACTTCATTCAATAAAATTTGGAGTTGATTTTTTTATAAATTGCGTAATGTATGTGCAAAACATTGCGGTAATATCTAAAACTATGTCAGTAGAGTTGTACTTTTTATACCATTAATTTTATGTATAAAGTTAGATTAATGATAAATTGGTCGTTCGAGAAAATTAAAAGTAATTTTGCAGTTTTGTATATCTTCAAGAACTTTTTCCATAAACTATAATAATTCATAATAAACAAGTGAGAAAATAACATTACCGTAGGTATATTGTAGCTTGCTATTGGGAATTCCTTGATTAGTAGCAATATAATATAATAATAATTACTAAATAAATGAGATTTCTATGGCTTAGATTAAGATCTATGGTCATTCATACAATCATAGATTGATACGTAGCTATTGGTTTCAATATGTGCTTCCCATAGACATATATTAATGGACGTGCCTTAGACGTATGTCGTTGTAATAATTTCTTGGCTCGAAAAGTGAGAGAGATGGCGTATAGTTTCGGTCCATTAGTAAACGTCGATGGTGCTTCCTACCTGTTGCTAATGTATGTATAGTTCATACTTTGTCTATGGTTCATACATACGTATCTATGACATACGACAAAAACGTCAGACGAACCAAAATGTAAAAACAAAAGTTAAGAATCGTAATATGATCGTAATGAATTATTTCATTGTCAGTTAAAGTGTCATAAAATTAATTATATTGTGTAGCTCATTATTGCAATGTAAGCTTCAAATGTATGTAATCATAGTGGGATGCAATTGAATAGCTACGGCTAGACATCAATAAACACTTCAATACAATTTAGTGGTGTCTGGTGTTATGATAATGAAAAAATTTAGCAATGTGGGCATTTTAAAATTAAAATGTGTACTTTTTAAATAAAACATCGATTTTTACTGATTGTGGGACTAAGTTTATAAACGAGGTAATTATTTTTTATGGGTATTATTATTTTTTATAATTGTATAATATTATTTATAGTTTTAGACTTCATTAATTTATTCCTATTCCTTTGTTCCAACTTTCAGAAGTATAATTGACCAGTATTGTAAAACAGAGTATTTTTAAACAATGAATAATCGTGACACTCCATTTGGAATTATATGCATACAAAAATTAGTTGGTTGTTGCTGTCGTAGACTCCACTTTAACAAGGAATTATAGTAAGATTTTGCATTTTAAAAATTAAAACCTATTACGTGTATTTATGTAATAGTAAAGAAAAATGCTTTTTAAATCATTCAACAAGTAGGTTATTTATGAATCGTGTTTTCATTTTTTCTTGTTTTCTTCTTTTTATANAAATGTAGCTTTATCAGCACTAACATCATTATTTTGTATTATTATTTATTATTTTTTTGTTAATCAGCGAAGAAAAGAGATTGCCGAAGCAACAGTTTTTATTAGACCAATCGCTTGCTTTTTGCTGTTCATTTTTTAATTTGTTAGGCTAATTTTATTTATTTGTTTATTTACTAACCAGTTAATTCAAATATATATAACATACATTTTAGATGGTTCTGATGCACAAGCATCCCAGTTGCTAGGCCAGCTCGACTCGGCGTTCCTGTTCGCCTATGCCGCAGCAATGTTCGTGTCTGGTTTTGTGGCAGAACGCGTTAATTTACGATATTTTTTGGCATTTGGCATGCTATTCTCCGGAACTTTCAGCTATTTATTCGGAATTGCCAAGACTTACAACATACACGACCTATGGTATTTTATTATTGTACAGGTAATAAAAGAACTTTGAATAGTTAACGAATACTTCAAGTTAATGAATAAAGTCAGTACGTTGTATACATAAATTTTCTTGAAATGCATCTTTATACACAGTTTAGTTTAGATTAAATGGTCAAATTAATAATTTTAGGGTTTGGCTGGCATCGTACAAACCACTGGTTGGCCCGGTGTTGTAACTGTGGTGGGAAATTGGTTTGGGAAAAGCAAAAGAGGATTAATTTTTGGCATTTGGAATTCCCACACGAGTATAGGGAACATTTTAGGTATTTTTTTTTTAAACAGCAACATTATAATTTCTCGAAAACGGCTGTAACAATTTCGTTGTAATCTGCTGTCCAGTGGCTTTTAGAGGAGACAAATTGATCTACATAGTAGGCACTTCGGGAACATTTTTAATTGTCGGAAATAGGCAACTCAATATACACCCTGCACATCCATATTGCATAGATTAGTCTGGCGAAGTTCGATCAACCAAATATTGTTTATATAAAGTTTAATTACAATGCTAATGCCATATATTAATTAATAATTTACATGCTTGTGAATCAGTATTTGTTTATGTTCCTTTTTTGCATTGCATTTACAAGGTCTTTTTTATGTCACATATTGAAAAACAAAAAGAATATATATATATGTATTTCAGACTATTAGCTATCGTCAACAGTCAGTAAAATACATTTTCGTAATTTATTCGTTTTATATTTTATTTCTTAGTTCTTTTTTAAATTTTAATTTATGTGCTTTAAGAAATATTTACTTTACAGGTTCATTAGTGGCTGGTGCTTATGTAGAATACGACTGGTCTCTTTCTTTCATCATTCCAGGATTAATAATGGGAGTTGCGGGTTTTATAATATTTTTATTTTTAGTTGCACATCCGTCCGATGTTGGTTGCATTTCTCCCAACAACACAGACCGAAAGGTTTGTTGAATGCCATGTAACCTGCTGTGCAACTTGTATTTTATTTTTCCATTTCAGAAATATAAGCGTTTAAAAGACCAAACAACTGGCGGAGATACATCGCCAACGAGCAATTCTGAAACAGAAGAAACTGAAAGTTTAATTGAAGAACAGGTTAGTAAAAAATCAACTTAATAATTCTACGGATTTTTTTTATAACACAAAATATGGTATTTAAATTATTATTGGTTTTATCGGGTTTATATTTTGTCTATATATATATATATATATTAGACATTTTATCGTTAGTTAAAAGGATAAATAGATATTTTTAATTTAATTACTTTTAGGAAGTTCAAAGGCGAATTTCAGAACGTTCATATTTGCTACCGAATAATCAGAGTCGTTATGGACAGCAAGCTATAGGGTTTTTTGGTGCACTAAAAATTCCTGGAGTAGTTGAATTTTCCTTTTCTTTATTTTTCGCAAAGTTAGTTAGCTACACATTCCTCTATTGGTTACCTTTATATGTACACGCATCGAGTAAGTATTTTTATCACAGTTTAAATATTCTTCTATAAGTTGCTAATTTTGTTTTACTTGATTAAATAGTTGAATAAGTACTGTTGTCAAATTCAGTACACTTTCAATTTAACTAATAATAAACTTTTGTTTTAATGTAATTTAAGGAAGTTCTCAGCTTTTACTAAAGTTTTGATTAAATACGTGACAATTATCTTTATCTTTCAGCGACGATGGGTGCCGCACTAAGTGCCGATTTGTCCACCTTATTTGATGTCGGTGGAATTGCTGGTGCAATCGCTGCTGGGTTTTTGTCTGATTGTACTAACATGCCGGCTGCGACTTGTGCCGTAATGCTAATACTCGCAATTCCAGGAGTAAGTCATAGAAAGTAAAAAAAAAAAGCATAAATTTTTAAAGTAATTTAAAATTTTAGATGTTCGTTTACCAGCATTTCGGTACGATTCACATCGGATTAAATGTAGTGTTGCTAATAATCGTTGGATTTCTTGTTAACGGTCCTTATGCCCTTATAACAACGAGTGTTTCGGCCGAACTCGGTACACATTCCAGTTTAGAAGGCAATTCGAAAGCATTGGCAACTGTCACTGCTATTATCGATGGTACCGGATCGATAGGTAAACAAAATAATTAATGTTATTTTTGCTGGATGAAATTTCATGTGAATTTCACTATTTATTAATGAAGACGTTTTTTGATGCTAATTACGAAATATAGACTAAAGGAGTCACCCGTGAAGATTCTTTTAAATTTGTTCATTAAAAACGGAGTTGTGATCTTTTAATGTTTTAGTATTTCATTCATACCAGCCTAGGTACCTTGTGTTATTGTGGGACGCATTTTTAAACTTTTATAATTCTCCTTTTATTCCAAACATCATTTCATGTCCTTCATTATTTTCTATTAACTTTTTTTGGAGTTAATAATAAAATAAGTGATGACACTTCTACCAACGGAGAGCTTAACAATAAATTGTTTCACCACACTGTTTTTTTCGGATGTCATGGTGTGTAGTTAAGTGTGGATTAATAAAATAGTGAAATTAAAAATTAATATTTTTATCACATTTTAGAAGAATGCGTTTCGTTAATAAATAATTTATTTAGGAGCTGCTGTTGGACCACTTTTGGCTGGTTACGTCCAGTCGCAGTATAGTTGGCACAGTGTATTCATTATGTTAATGCTGTCGGACGTGTTTGCATTAGTTCTTTTGTTAAGATTGGTTAGGCGTGAACTGAGTTGGCTCAGACAGCGACGAAGAGAAGAGAGAATTGAATAGCAATTGTATTGCCAACATTTCTGTCTATTTAAGAACAAAAGAGCCACTTGTTGAACGTGTTTTTTGTTTTTGTTTTAAAGGGTCAGTTGTTAACAATTATCGAGTTATATCTTTAGTAAATACTGCAGTGAACCATACGGGAATACGGGCGATTCGATTAGGAGAAAAAGGATAGATAGGCATTTGATGCGTGTATCCCTATTTTTGTTACCACTTTTTAATGAGCTTATCTGTTTTAGTACTGCTCACTAAACGCTCAGTGAAGTATAAAACATTCGATCTAAATACTTAATACGTAAGTGTAGAACAAAAGTAAAATAACAAGACTGCTTCTGTCCTTTCTAACGATATGAATGTAGGGAGGGCCCACTCCAGTATGTACTACAGCTCGATGTTTTTTAATATACTTGTGTATGTACTGTTCACATTTAGGAAATGTAAATAGTTATACATTTTTATAATTGAATTTTTTAAACGGAACCATCATTACTGTTATGAATATTATGCGAATGTATGTGTAGAGATTGTGTTATGTAGAATTTTTAAACCCGTTTTCTTTTTACTTGTTAAAAATTGCTGATGAATATACCGGGACTGATAAAAACTTGATTTAGCATTTTATTATGTATTATGTATTTGCCATTATTTAATTATATTATATACATTTTTTATTTATTTGGACAAGTTTATGTACATACATTAAAACTGTAAGCTAAGAGAAATGCTTTTTTGCGCTTTAAAATTTACTCAAAAACTTCATGCACATGTCAAAACCTAAAAAGGAGGCCGCGTTCGCCGGAAACGCTCTCAATATTACCGGCGTAATGCCTTTATATAAACCCAGTGGGCCGTCTGTTTTCATTAGTTCAACGAATACGTCCTTCATTCCTCCGGGATACGTACCTTCGGGGGCTCCCTGTAAACGACTCTTGAGTACATCGGCCGGCATACCGATAATCCAATTGGCGACTCCCGCCATACCACCCGAAAACAAAGTCGACGCCTTGCTGCTTTCTTTTTTGCCGTTGTCGGTGAACATGTTTTGAAAAAATTCGTAAGTAGAGAAATAAAGACCTGCCGCGGGAACGTCTCTTAAAACGGTAGCTAAAAAGCCACGATAAATACTTTTAATGCCGCCTTCTTTAAAAAGTTTCATTGCACAGTCGAACGTTCCCGAATATAATTTTGGTTTGGATGGGTCGTCTTGAAGTTGCAAGAGGACTTTGATTCGTTCTCCGGGAGCCATTATGCTCGACGTGAGTAAACCAGAAAGGGCACCCGCACAAAAACATTGTGACAAACTCAGTTGCATTGAAGGGTCTTTCGGACCGAATATACCCCTGCCAAGGCCGTAGCCGAAGAAAGAAACCGCGAATATAGGAGCGATAGCTACCAGAGGTGCCGACATCCCCTTATATAGGCCAAGTGGTCCTTCCTTTTGTACAGTTTTAAGAATGCAGTCCATCGTTCCTGCGTACAGGGGTTTTCCAGACGAGTCAGTAGCACCTGCCTGCAATCGTACCTTTACTGTGTCCAGAGGGTGGCCTACTAACACTGCAAAAATACCACCACACCCGCCAGATACGAAATATTTCAATTGATCCATTTAAAGCTGATAGGGCATTTTTATATATTACCTAAATTAAAAAATTTTGTAAATAGTTGTTGAAAGTAAATGACAAAATAAATTTCATATTTGTTGTTAAATTGACATTTATAAATGCAACTGACGTTCTCTCGCAAATGTTCGAGTTTCATTAGCCTACAAATAATAATATACCTAGTAGTAGGTATACTAATACGTCTTGTTTTCACTATTTATTAATATCCTTGCGAAAAAAAAGTAACGCCGCCACTAACTGCAACAATCTATGAACTAACTACATATCTATGAGACCAACAGGGAACAAAAAAGGGTAAACTCAAAGTTTGGTTAGGTTCCAACTTTTTTTTTTGTATTACAAAGTAATTGTAAATATTTTCTAGCTATTGTTTTCTATATCTGTGCCGTGCAGACCTACAATTAAAATCGCAAAATGTGGTGGCAATTAATGTTTCGAGCCGCTCGTAATTATGCTCCGTACATTACTTTACCTTTTGCAGCAATAGTTGGTTTTGTAGGTTACAATGTAGAAAGCATTTTCTCTCGAAAGTATACGCCATATAGCGGTAAGAATCGAGTAAATTTTGAATTAAAATCTCTCATATTTTTGATTACAGCACCAGTGATTGATACCAGAACTGAAAGACTTTTATCAGATGATTCGTTGTCCAAATCAACAAACTTGCCAAAGCAAATTTACGAAAACGCTTTAGATAAAAACCTTTCACCGTCCTTAATTTAAAAAAAAATTAATGCAATAATAGTTTGTACATTGTATAAAAAGAAATTGTTGGGGTTGCAGAAATGTTATGATAAAAATAATAACCTTGAATAGCAAAAGGGTTCTAGTAAGTATCTGTATTATATATATAGTAATGAAAATATTATATTTGCTGGCTGTTAATTAAATCAAGTACTCAAAAAATAAAAAATATTTCCATAGGAATGTTGTTTACATCATGACAGTTTGGTTATGAGTTGATACTCAGGCAATGGCTTTAGGACTTTGCAAAATTTGTTGTGATATTGCCAAAAATGTAAGTTAAAGAGTTAATTCCATAATCTAGTAAAAGATATCAAAGCTGAAAGCATAGCTTTATAATCTATTGTAGTAGAAAAAAGTCAGTCCCTTAATTGAAACAACTATTTACTAAAATTGCACTTTATAAACAAGTTAACCATTACTGAAGACATTTCTTCTTCTGTTTTTAAATCTATCAAGTTCTATTTGATCAGTACTGACATTTTATTTTACTTTATTTTAGTTGTACAAAAAACCAATTTCACTTTCTCAGAAAGTTATTTCGTGTAAGTTTATACATGACAATGGATTAAGAAATGATGATGCCAGGTAAGAATATGAATCTATTTCAACTCTAGTTTCTACTAAATTTGTTTATTCAAGTGACTTGAGAAAAATTGTGTCTGAAACCGTTATTAAACTTTCTCGTCCAAATATTAACCCGTTTGAAAGTGATACATTGTATGCAAAAGAATTGGAAACACAAGATTCTCCCATTTCAAATTCTGAATCTTCACAAGTATGCGATCCATTCTCTTTTAACTGGCAACTTTCTATTCTGTGCTATGTGTATATCATTTTGTTGTAATATTTTGAAATTTAATAATCGATTAGAATTGGTGGCTACAGTTAAAACTATTTTTTAGGCGGCATCTACATCTGCCTTTAACTGTAATGTTGCTAAACATTATAAAAGAATAATCGAAATACAACCAACGCCACTTCAGGTAATTTATTCGTTTTTTGGTGCTCTTTTAATCACGTTTCACGAGTTATCAAATTAATTTTATAGAGATACTGGAGCAGTGGCCCTCCGCATAAAGACAATTCTGTAGTGCGATATTATTCGAGCAATAAAAAGAATACAAATAAATGCAAAAAAGACAACGAGAAATGCCGTAAAATGATCGCACCGTGCTGCGATCCTCCGGCGCGAAAGTCATGCAAGCCACCCTTAGATGATTCAACGTGCTGCAAGCAAGAAGCCCCTTATCCTTCTTACAGTGAGAAGTGCGTGGAGGAAGTCATTGACAAGCCATCCGAGTGCAAATTGTGCCCTTGGACACCAGATAAACACCCCTACTTCGAATACGTGGGTACGTAACTGCCATCTTATTTTCGAGCGGACTTTTAATAATTAACATATTTACTTAGAAATTCAAATTAAGTGTTTCTACGTAAACGACGGTTCATTGTTTCAGACGAATTTCCACATTTTCGACATCCCAAAAAACCAAGAAAGCAACAAAACGACTGTAAGACGCGGAAGTTTTCGACACAAGTTTCGACTACGAATGAATCAACGTTTAAAAACGTGAGAATTATTAAGGATAACAATATTTTTTTTCATAATCTACCAATCTTTAATTTTCTTCTATTACGAAAATACTGTGTACTCAATATCAATTCAGCAATATAGTTATATTGTACTGTTTACGCAGGTCGCAGATATGTATACTGTATTGTAGAATGTAACAGGTCTCAACATTCTAGGCTCAAAAAATAGTGCGGAACGACAGACTACACGGTTCACGCGTGCGCAACTAAAAAAATGCACGAATGGTGTTACATTCAAGGTGCATACGAAAATGCCTATTTTTTGTATTTGTATAAATAATTGCCCTGTTTCTGTTATTGATAAAAAATCTTGTACTGGGTTTCATTTGCAATTTATATCTTTATAAATAAAACATATTATCAGGTCAACATTTAATAATAAATTAATAAATAGAAGCAGAGAAAACTTTGACTTCCATAAAAACGAACTTTTTTTCTGTTAAATGGACAAATGAAATCCCCTTTGCTCCACCTTTGTCATAAAGGTATATTATTTTTAACTCAAAAACAAATCAGATAGGTAGACATTGAAAAAAATATTGTCTTACAATGGTATGCCGTTCCTAGTGGTGTCTATATATCTTTTAATAAGATATCGTATCATTATTATATATTTTTCATTGCATGTCCCTCTCGGGTCTGTTTTTAGTAAGATATTGTTTTATATTAATGGAAAAAAAAAGATGAGGTACATGTAACTTAACGGCGATTTCTCTTAGGGCAGCAGTGGCAGTGTGCTGACAACAAATGAAAATGAAATTTTCAATATATGTTCCACAATGAAACTTGATAAGGTAATTTACAACGGTTCGTTTTTATTTATTCTCCTATCGGCGACAGTCGTTAAAATATTAAAATGTAATTTACTATCAACTTGAACTATTTTCGTTTCAATATTTTAGAAACCTTGCAAACCACCGCCACCAAAATGCAAACCTGAACCACCGAAATGTAACAAAGACAAAAAGGAGAAAAAACCCGAAAAAAGGAAACAAGACGACTGTAAGAAAAAGTGTTCAAATATGAACAAGGAAGAGTATATGTTGGATTCCTCATTTCACGTGGAAATGGGCCTGAGAAATAAGAGTAAAAATGAATGTGTCAAAAAAGGCAAAATTCGTAAATTTCCCTTTCCAAACCCACCACCAATCAAACAAATTGACACTGATACACCTTGTCCAAAACGCAAAATAAAGTCACCAATAAAGGATTGTCCAACAGGAGGAGGATGTAGTGAATGCTTACCAAATACAATACTCAAACCTAATCCTCTTCATTTGCACAGTATTATCGATAGCGATCAATCAACTAATGAAGGCGAACCTTTTCCATCACTTGTTGAGGTATTCTTTACAATGATTTTCAAACATATTTATGCTTTTTCATTGATTTATTCGTTATTTGCTTCAGGAACGGGCAATTTCATTAGCAACTTTACAACATCAGCTATATTTGGTAAATATTCTTGTCAAACATTTAGGGTTTTGTACTTTATAATGAGACATCTGACCATTTGTCATAGCCAAAACCATAACGAAAATATAGATTTCTAGAAATTAATTTTACAAACTTTTTATCTTGTTACAAAATACTGCAAAATAATCTTGAATACAGTCGGTAAAACGAAGTATACGTTTTCAAAACGTTTATGCTAATTATAAGTAATGTATTTAATACAGTACGGAACTCTAGGTGACGTTGATTGATTTTTCTATATTCCAATTATAATTATAATACACAGTCATTATTCTAGGAAGAAGACAACAAGTGTCCACCGACGCATGAGAAAAGCAAAGTCTGTCCAAAAGAAAGCTTAATACTTCCAAAGAGGAAAAAAGTCAAACGACCTCCGCTTTGTTCGGAAAAAGAAGGAAATAAAAAGGGAAAATAATTATTCGTAACTACTTCGTTTCTAAACTACAACCTTTGCAAATGATTCAGTAACATTTCAAAGCATCATTAAAAAAAAACCTGAAGCCAAATTTAGTATTTTTTTTGACACGATTATCAGCAAGTAAGTATTTTAGCAGGGTTATTTTATTTTAAACGTAGGAAACCTATGAAATAGTCTCAAATATGGTACATTACTCAAACGAAAACAAACCAAAATAATAAACTCAACAAATAATTAATAGAATAAAGCAAATCTTTGGTAAATACACATTATTATGTCTAGCTTAAATTAACCATAAAAAACTTAAGCGGAATATGCTGGAGTAAATTTGTTATTGGCCAAAATTAATTCTAAAGCGCACAAATCAAAAATTTGAATAAGAAGGTGTTGATTTATCTTTTGACTTTGAAATGACGACAATAACAGTTTCAAAGCGGCTTGTAACGCTTTATCGCCAAATAGTTTTGGAAGATACCCTAAAAAAATAGTTAATAAAAAACTTGCTTAAAAATATTAGTATGTTTTATACTACTGTTCCAGTTCTTTTCCTTTTCAGGGTTTTATTATAAAAATCAAGGCTAAGTTGGAGGTAAAAATTGTTTTATTACCTCAAACATCACCTACTTTTGGCTTTACTGACAAGGTTTCTTTAGGGTTGCACTGCTGTACCCTTGAAGGCGCCTGTTACATAGAACAACCCAAAACTTAGGCGCCGTTTGCAGTAATAAAATATTTTTTACCTCCAACTTAATTTTTTCTTAATATATACAAATATACATACGTACTTTTTAACTTACTTGGCATACATCCAATGCACCATTGAACCATTTCATCCAGTTCAATGGTTAATTCACTATCATCGGAATTGTTGGGTAATTTTCCGACAAATTTGTTAATGCTGTGAAGTAACGTTTCCGATTGAGAGTTAAAAAAATTCTCACAAGTTGTTCCCAACAACAATAGGAATATTCTAACAGTAGTTTCTTGCGTCATATAATTATTAGAATCGAAGAGAACTTCGCAAATAATATCAATAAACGATTTTGTTACAGGAATGTGATAAGTAAATTCATCAGGTTCATCTACAAAATAATATTACATAAATTTATTGAATAGACACTGTAAAAGGTGAGTACCGTCAAGCAGCTCTAGTCCAGCTGCTGCTGACCAGGTGGTCCCTGGTTGATCCGCAACGTCCAACGAATTGATTGCCTCGTAAGCTGTATCGATCGTACAAAATGCTCGTCTTTCGGATATCAGCTTTTCCATTCTCGATTGAAAATCATCACTCTGCAGACAAACAAACAAATAGATGCCTTTAAGTATCAGAAAATGTCTAGACTAACTCACAAATGAATCGACCTCTACAAACGTCCAATTATCTATAGCCGAATTGTGTATGTCTTGGGTTGTTTCATTGACAGTTCCAGGAAGAGCTGTTTTGATTGTGTTGAGTGTGTTTTGGAAAACACCGGTTGCTGTACGAGCACAAAATTTATACAAGCTGGGCATAGTCCCATCGACTCTTGCAATATCTTGTTCATTCTGAATAGCAATCACCTCTCCAACATTACCGCCCTCGTCAGACGGTTTATGAAACTCGTCATATAACCTTAGTTTAATTACATAATAGTAAAATGGAAATTCAACTACTAATAACTCACATTGGACTTAACGATGGTGTGCTTATACCAGATTCGGATGATTTCTGTTGTAGCAAAGACCGAAGCTTTGCAATAGTTGTTGCAAAATCTGCGGCCTCTTCGTACTCAGGCTCAGGACTGTCGTTAATAAGTAATACATCTTCTGCAATTTGCGGAATATCTTGTCTGATAGTAAGTTTGTTGTTGATCTTGTTACAATTTTCAGTTTCAGGCGTTTTTTCCTGAATGATAAAAATTTTAAGGGCAATCAACAGTTTTAAAATACCGGACTTACCAACAAAATATTTCCATCATAATTTGGGGATTCCTTTAACGGATTTATCCAAACGGATTCTTCAAAATCACTTTCGTTGCCGGTAAGTTTTAGCTTTTCTTCTACTGATTTTAAACGCGGCGCTTTTGTTAATTTATGGGTCATTTTGGCATCGTCTTTCGTCTGTTCGGTTTTGTGTTCGTTTTTATTTTTGTTAGTCAATTCGGAAAAATTATCCGGCAGACCCGTTAATCGCAAACCTTTTCTTAAACCTGCCATACCAAAATCCAAAATCCCCTCTACAACGCCAGCGGCTTCATCCTATTTAAAAAAACACTCGTTTTAAAATTTATTACAATAGGAAATTTTTGTAATTCGTTAATTATTTATATGTATAGAACACCTGCAAATAACGCAAAAAATTTACAGCGACAAGCTTTTTTATAAAACAGTTATTTCTATTGAAAGCTTTCAGGAAAGTGTTTATATAAGTTAGTAGTTAATTAATTGTAAATGTGTAGGTTTAAATTAATGTAACTGTTTTATGAAAGTTTTGGATCTGTATTGTCACCTTGATTTGTATGTTTTATATTGTATTTCTTTGATGGAAGAATCATCACACAATAAAATTAAAAAAATACTACAACATGCCACGACAAAACATTTATCACAAAAAAAATACCTGAAAATTTTCAATTTTGAGCATAGCATTCGTTGTAGCTTGTGAAACAGGTCTTACCACAGTATTGACAGTGTTTTGCTGAAATTCCTTCATGTTGTGCAGTGTATGTGCCGTCACGTTTCCTAAAGCGATATTGCTAATTATCGACGTACTCTGAAGTACGACTGCTTAAATATTAATTTAAAAAGTACATTATGCACGTTTTATAAATTACCTATAGGTTTTATGGTGTTAGATAATATGGCAGAGGTGTTTGTCATGGCTTTCGCACAATTCGCCGTTAAATTAGTTTTGGAAGGCGCATACAACTGTTCTCGACCGTTCCACGCGGATTCTGTCGATTCTTCTCGTTTAAACGACGCTAAATTAAAAAGCGAAACATGTTTAGAAAAACGCGGCACAGAAATTACTGCTACGGGAACAAAAAATAAAATAGAAGTGGGGCTATAGACAGTCGGTAAAAGCGGAAGGTTTTCTGAAAGCACAAAATATAAAATAGGAATAGATTAATACAGTTTTAAACTTTTGACTGTGCAACAAAAAACAAAAGAAAACAATGGTAATGTTTCACAGAATATTCGACTTTGTTTCGGTCGATGCATCCATTTACTAGAGTAACCACCAAAGATTACTAGTGGTAAAATTAGGAACTTATATATACCTATTAAAATAACATATAAAAGGGTGGGGATTTTCCCTAATCATAGATTTTCAATTTATACTTACCCCAGTAGACGGCAGCATTGTTCAAAACAAATTTGTCGAATATTGGAATAAATTCAGTTACAATTGTTTTTTTTTTTTTTTTTATTAGAATGAGTAACTTGTAAAACAATGTATACAAAAATAGGATAAGCCCGTCAATTAACTAATTAAAAAATGCTGTATATTACATTTACAAGTGGAAACATAAATGGAACTTAAGTGAGTATAGCAATTTAATATTATTCATACCAATAACATTTTCCTTCCGTAAGTTCCTGTCAATTAGTGTTTGAATTTCTGAGTTTGCTTCTGTAACGNTTTTTTTTTTTTTTTTTATTAGAATGAGTAACTTGTAAAACAATGTATACAAAAATAGGATAAGCCCGTCAATTAACTAATTAAAAAATGCTGTATATTACATTTACAAGTGGAAACATAAATGGAACTTAAGTGAGTATAGCAATTTAATATTATTCATACCAATAACATTTTCCTTCCGTAAGTTCCTGTCAATTAGTGTTTGAATTTCTGAGTTTGCTTCTGTAACGTTTTGTATTTCTAGCAGATCTTCACCTAGTGAGATACACTGTAGATCGCGAGAGTTTCTCCATGTTCTATTGGTCGGTTTAGATTTATAAATTTTTACTGGTTCGCTCTTTTTAAATTGCCTTAAGTTCGAAAGTTGTGCTGCTGCTTCGTCACATTCCTAAGAAATAAAAATCATTTTCATTAACAAAAAGGTCAACAGTAATAAGTGTCGGTGTATTTTTACTTTATCTTTAATTTCGTCTTTTTCATGGAGATGTGCTTCGGATGTACTGGACCTTTTAAAATGCGTGGTACTGTCTACCTCATCAGCTACACGAGCATTATTTTTGTCAGTTCCTTCAGGATTAGTATTTGTGTCAATTTGTGAATTTGCAATTTGACTTTCTGACATTGAAATACTATCCGATTTATTATCGTCTTCGTTTTGGAAATTTATATCTGAAAGTTTAACGGACGAATGCCTAATCAAATCGTAATCCTTGTACTTCTCACAACAAGTTTGCAATATTTTATAATTTAGGAGGCCAGGCAAAGAGACATAATGTAACATGTACATGACTAGCTTTTTTGCTAAAACAGATACCAGTATCTTGCAAGGTAGAGAACAGTAAAGTTCCCAATTTATAAACTGTTTTAAAACGTCTGTTGTTAAACGGTGAACGTACATTTCTCTAGCTTCCGGTGATTTGCTACTGATATGATTGTACCTTTAAGTAAAAATAATGCTTTGATAAAGCAAATGATTTACTGAATTGTTAAAAGAAAAAGAGGATTTTACCTGTACATCTCTTCAACAGTGCCACCATTTCGTTTAACTCTTCTAACAGTTTTACGAAATTCTTTAACATGATTTAAAACTAATGTTAGAATACCATAGGAAAGTTTTTTGTTATCAACCTGTACAACAACTTGCAAAAATCTTCTTACAATTTCATCAAGTAGTTTTCTAGTTTCAGAAGGAAAATTATTATCATAAGATATGTACTTATACCACTTAATTATAAAACGATTTTCAACATCAACAACGAATTCCTCAATACGGTACTCTATAGAATTTTGTATGTCTAGATTTGTTTCTTTGTTTTTGTCTTCGTTATTAAGGTGTATCTTTTGTATGGTCAATTTTTGTCCTTTCTTAATAAGTTGTTGCTTATTTTCTTTTCTTTCATTTGATAAATTACTTACAAGCGTCTCGAAAATAATACTGATAGCAATTGTAAAACTCAATTCTTCAATTTTTATTCCAACTGGTTTTGTTTTTCTCAACAATGACTGTAATGATACAAAAGCGGTCCAAGCCGCTATTATAAATACGGCGACAACGTAAAATGTAAGGAAATATCCATTAATGAGTAAAACATTAAGTTGATAATTAACACCTAATATCGTAAATATTACAGTTAAGCATGTAGAAATCACTATATCACAATAAGAGAAGTTCATGTTGAAAAACACAGCAGTACATCAACAGCAACAATTTTAATCCATACAAAAGTTTTACATTTACGATTTAATACTAATCAAAACCACTAGAACTACACTTTTTGTTTTTACTACTTTTTTTTAGTTTTGCCCATAGATAATAGATACACAAAGGGTATGCCCTATTTTTCAATGATATTACCATGCGGTGTTAACTCCTCCTGTCAAAATAGTAGTGACTACACCTGGCAGATGGCGGTGTTGCAGCGGTTAAAGATTTTGTAAAATGGGTTGCATATGAAAAACAGCATTACGATCATAAAAAATATTATCATTATTT